CTGTAAACGCACGCTCGATAATACTTACAATTCACCAAGCCGACAACCCCTATGAAATAGTAATCTCAAACGACGCGCCCGTCACTCAAGTGGCGCCGACAAGTCTAGATTGGGCAAAGACCAAAGTATTTTGCAAAGTTGCAAGTCATTTTGCTAACTGACTGTCCGAATAATTCTCAGAACGGCTGTAACATTTTGAAAATATAATTTCGATAAACTTAATTAATGATAACTAAGGAGAACGCCCTCATTTTATATATTTGTTGAAGTTTAGGGGGTTAGCATTGCTCACTGGGTTTGCGTTGAGACATTCAGTCTATACAACACACCAGACATGTTAGTGTTCAAGATGTCACGATGATAATTCTCTACTTTTATTCAGAATACTCTACAAACTTCGGGTATGGTATTGTCAGCTCAAAATTTCCTACATTCTAAATGCATTTATACACTCGTTTATTTAATCCACTCACTGCTAAACTAAGATTGCTTCTAATATATGCATAACAATCATGGGACTTGAATAAAAACAGTTTTACACAATGTTCCCACTTGTTATTTAAACACATATGCACTCATGAAATTGCTGTGCCGATCTGCACACCGTGAGCTGCAATCAACTATGTGAAGAGTACACCTTTGCTTCCGATCTGTAATCCTTGGTTTTGATGTGGGTTTGTTTTATGATCTACAGGACATTCACCCCTTCCTAACCACATAGCTAGGACTAGAACACATATCCCTCCTTAAAGTTGCGATCCTACTTAAATGGCAAGTAGAAAAAGGCCGGGTATTAGCGCTAATGATGTGATAACTATTGATTTCTCTCTTTGATTTTTCATAATAAACTCTATAGGGGATGACAATTCCAGAATAACATTTTAATATCCTTCTGACTAGTTTGGTTGTTGCTAGGGATTTTAGCCTTATTGAAATCTCAATACTCATATTGAAACATGTGGCAGTGCTGGTGGTGGTAAAAATGTTCTATTTTCGACGTCAGTCGGATATGTTGAACCCGAGGGATCGGCATTTACGATCGAGCTCACTATTTGGCGTCGATGATCACGAACGCATAGGTTACGTGAAAGCAGTTTACGGTACGCTTCCCTTAACTGCGGGTTGCATACACCGTATATGATTGGATTTACAGCACTGTTGGCGAAAAACAAAACCGCCAGACCGAACGGAGGCTCTCTGCTGAGGACAAACGTTACGACAAACTGATAGGGGGATATAAACATAATATAAGATAGAAAAACAGAAAAGACGGTTTTCGTAATAGCGATTTCTTTGCTGGACATCCGTTGGTTGCTTGTTGCGATAGAGTGCACCTGGCGTCTGCTTTGATAAACTTTAAACCATAGATGCGCGTAACAATACCCTATAACGAGTAGAGGTAGAAGTCCGGTGGCGATGGAAAGGCATATAAGGTAATAGAATCCCAGTCCTGTACGATCTATTAAGCATATGCGTTCATTGTAGCTGTATTTGTAATTTGAAAAATTGAAAAGTGGCAGAATACTGAACACGACCGCTGTTAAATGGCAAGCAGTGGCGACCATGACATTGTTTTTCACCGTCAAACGTAGAGCATTGTTATTTTTTCGGCATACGGTCAGGTATCGGTTGATTGCGATAGCAGTCATGCAGAATATTGATGCCCCGCCGCTCTGGAGGAAGACACACCCATATAGTTTACATAGCCAGTTGCCTCTCGGACTGTTGTCATGATAACCAAACAAGTTGCCATCCGTGACGTACGCAATTATTGTGAGTGACGTCATGAAGGTGCAAGTCGTGAAATCAGAAACACAGAGCCCGCCGATGAGAACGTTGAATGGCGAGCGCAGTCGCTTAAACATAGTTATAGATGCTATCACAAGAGAGTTGCCAACAGTGCCGACGATGATTGTGGCGATCAATAACGCAACCGATATTGCTTTGATTATCAAATTTGGTGACGTTGTTCTGCCATGTATGCCCACCAGGCTTTGATTATAATGAACAAGCGAGTAATTTGAATCAATTTCTTCCATCGTAAGGATGAGAACTACTGGACTAGTAGCCAATCAGATTGTAGATACTTCCAGCAACCACACCGATGACGTGTGGTACGTGAGTAATATTGTTCAGGCCGTCAGAATCATTGATGACATCCCTTCGAGCTAGGTACCTGAAATACGGATAAACAAACATCTTGATTGAATAGATGTGGCCATAGATTGGACGGCGAAAGCAAATTATATCTGTAATTTACAAGTCTCTGTATTGTATGAGCATGGAGGTAATGGGAGGAGTCACTTTTAAACACCATACCCGTACCTAAAATGAAACAAGTCATTGAGAATGTCACCTCGCACAGGCACCAGATCTTTAAATACAAATAAAAAAAATAAACAAATAAATTCATTTAAGTTTAGGTTTAAGCCTGATTTTATTTCGTGCGGGCGACTACCCCTCTGCCCCCTGGTGTCGTCGCCTCTGTCTAAAGCTGTCATAATTTTGGAGAAACGGTCATGACCCATTGAAATCATGCAGTAATTGAATACGGCGACACAAGACGGCCGAGAGAGACGGTGTGCGAGCGGAAGAGCCCGGGAAGGGATGTAGGCAAAAAGGAGGGACAGCGAGGGGGTGTGGGATGCGAATATTTTCTTATATAAACTATAGGGAATATATATATTATGGAAACAAGGTGATAAAATGTGTTGTGATCCGTGGTTTCTAGTTTGATTTATTCGTTTTTTGCACAATTTTGCTCGAAAATACTGGTCATTTAAGGTCGAAACAATTTTACCTCATAATAATGAAGTCATCGTAATTTCATAAATTAGCGATCGAGCTCTCTGTCACAACAATCAGCTGCAGACTAGTGGGTTGGAGATAGTGGATGCCTATCTTTCGTACATCGTGTTAACTGGCGTATTTCAATTTCTTTTATTTGTGCAACATTTTGTATTATAAAATTTCAATCGATTACATCAAAATGAATTACTAGTATTTATATCACCACGAAATGAACAATTATTATGAAAATTAAAGCCTCCTTACAAAGTGTTGTGATCATGTCATATATATATTATATTTTGCTGCCAAAATGCAGAAAAAAATCGCATATAAATAGCTTTGATGCGGAGTCAACTAAATTTGCAGCAACACAAGCTTCCTGCAAAGTAACATGATTTGCATAACAACAATTTCTAGCAACGTCACATGACTTCCACCAACAAGGGCGTCTTGCAAAGTCACTGAAAATGCCACAACATGATGTATTAATATTTATTTATTGAAGTCGTATCCAAAAATGGACATAGATCAAAGTACAATAAAGCATAGTTGTCATTACAAAAACCATCAGAAAAAAAAAACATTATAAAAAACAAAAAACAACAACAAACATATTTATAAAGTAAATGTAAGGATTACTTATTTAGATATCTGTGAGGCAGCTGTTTTTTTTAATTTGCTTTCTCTTAGGATGAAACATTCATGTATCATGCATTTTGCTAGACATTATAGCATGACCGTATTCTTTGTGTATAGTACGTTAATACAGCTTGTACAAGTCTTAGAAAACTGTCTAATTGTGTTTAGAAGGATCTGTCTTTCATATTTGTTCTAGCTGACATTTTAACAAAAAGTGCTCTTCATCTTCAATATCATTAGTATCGCATACAGGACAGCTTCATTCAGTAATGTTAATTTTATGGTATCTGCCCATTTCAATTTGTAAAACATGTGCACTTAATCTTAGTTTGGTCATTGATGATTGGTGTAGTGGGTTATTTACTGTCAGCAGATAGTTCAGCGAGGATGTGATTTCTACCATCACTGTGAAGACTTCATGTATAACTATCATGTTATCCCATCGTGTTATGTCCATAACAGTCACATAACGTTATAACTATGTAAACAGGTATGATGCAGGCGGGAATAATTGGGATAAACTATGTAAGGGTAGATTTGATTCTCTGTCAACCCCGAATGATAAATGTTTCACAGCTGCTGTTACATGTCGTTAATGTAATAGGTGATAACCGAAATTGTCAT